GGCGGGCGCGGCGACTTCCGGGCGGTGCGCGCGGGCGGCGGCGGTCGGTGCAGCCATGTCGGCCATGGGGACTCTGGCCTTTGACGAGTATGGGCGGCCCTTCCTCATCCTCAAGGACCAGGAGCGCAAGACGCGCCTCATGGGGCTGGAGGCGCTCAAGGTGAGCGAGCGCGGCGGCTGCCGGGGCCGCCCGCGGGCCCGCGCCGGCTGGGCCGCGCCATGCCGTGCCGTGCTGTGCTGTGCTGCACCATGCTGCTGCTAGCGGCGGGAGGACGGAGCCCCTGGGGCGAGGCGGATGGAGCCTGGAATAGGCCCGTAAGCGGGAGAGAGATGGAGGAAGAGAGAAGGCATCGCCCCGGGGCTGGGAATCCGCGGCACGGCGTGGATCCGCCCCCGAGCCGCGGGGCTTTGGGGCCGGCAGCGCCGTGGGCGCAGCGCGCCCCTCCCGTGGCTCCTGCCCCGCGCCCCTCCCGCGGCTCCTGCCCCGCTCCCCAGTGCCCCCTCCCCTAGACGGCCGCCTGGAGCTCGGCCGCTGGAGGAAGGCCGGGGCTGAGTGCGGGTGGTGCAAATCCCGGTGGAAGATGGGAGTGGATGCTGGAACAGAGAGGTTGTGGATGCCCCATTGCTGGCAGTGTTCAGGGGCGGGTTGTATGAGCAACCGGGTCTAGTGGAAGGTGTTCTGCCCCTGACAGGCGGTGGGACCTGCATGATCTTCAAGGCCCCTTCCAAGCCAAACCATCCTGTGATGATGCTGTGATGGGTGGAATTGCCCTGCCTTCTCTTTTTAGCGTTGCTTCTGTTGCTGCCTGATTTGTGCATTAGGGCTGTCATTTGGCTGCTGTGCTTTGCAGGCTTTAGCAGAGCCAGCACAAGCAATGCGAGAAAAGGCATAGGAAATGTTTCTGTCATAAGACCAATCACATACTGATTCTTTTTCAGTCATAGCTGTTGTCAGTTAAATTACAGCATTTGCATTACTGGCTGTGTTTTCCTTAGCTTAATATTGTGATTTCAGAATGCATGATAATGATTTAACTTGTGTCTTTGTTATCCTTTGTTTTACAGTCTCACATAATGGCAGCAAAGGCTGTAGCGAGTACTCTGAGAACATCCCTTGGGCCCAATGGTAACAATGAAAAAATTTTATTGGTTCTCTCTTAGTACTTGTTGTGGGGGAATTTTCAACATTTTCCTTCATTCTTTGAACATGTGTTTTTTAGGCTTGGATAAAATGATGGTGGACAAGGATGGTGAGGTGACCGTGACAAATGATGGTGCTACCATCCTGAATATGATGGATGTGGATCACCAGATAGCCAAACTTATGGTGGAGCTGGCTAAATCTCAAGATGATGAGATTGGGGATGGAACTACTGGAGTCGTTGGTAAGAAAGTGTTTTAAATATAGCTTCCTTTTTCAAGTTTAAAGTCAAGCTGCTTCAGCTATTAAAAAAACAAAAACAAACCAACCTGTGCAGTAGGTTTTCTGTAGCACTTCTTAGGAGTATTTATTGTTGCAGTGTTCCTGTCAGTTCTTGTGTGAGAAGTCTTCTAATCAGAAAGAAGTCTTTTGTGTCTTTTTGAAGTTTGGTTACATTTTAAGGTAGTGCTGAGAGCCCCTTTGATACTTCCAAAAATTTTTTTGCATAATTTTCTTCTGTAGTCTCTTTGTCCTGCCTTGATGCCTGTACTTCATTTTGGTCTTAACTTAATGTGCTTTTCTTGCTCAGCAAAGCAAGTAGAGGTTTTCATGGTTTTTTGTTATTTAGGAAACCTTGAACTCTTAAAATATTGCAGAAAAATCAGAAAATGTGTTTTTTAATCTGTTGTTCAAGTACTTAAAATTATGCTCCAATCAAGAATAAAACTTTTTTTTTTTTTTACTAGTTCTGGCTGGGGCATTACTGGAACAGGCTGAGCAGCTACTGGACCGCGGCATTCACCCCATCAGAATAGCAGATGGGTATGAGCAGGCAGCACGCATTGCTATTGAGCATCTGGACAAAATCAGTGACAGCTTCCCAGTTGATCCACAGAACATCGAGCCTCTGATCCAGACAGCAAAGACAACTCTGGGCTCTAAAGTGTAAGTCACAAAAACTGAATATTGAATGAATATTTACCCTTCCACTGAAAACCCTCTGTGTGGAAAGGAGAAATCCTGGTGTTTTGTTTGTGTTACTGGGGTGCTGCTAAAGCTCTTCTGTGTTTTGTTTTGGCAAATTCGTCCATGGGCTCCTGTCTCAGGATGAGAAATTGTGAATCCTTCGTCTCCAAAGGGTCAAATCCATGAAGTTAAATAGCTGCAGCATCCATTTCATTCTAACCTGTTAGTTACAGGTTTCTGCATCATAGCAGGTTCCAAAAGTAATGTGAATCTTAATAATGTGTTTTGGGGTTTTTGCCGCTAAAAAAACTTTAACTTAGGATGGTTCCAGGAGTTCTTTTTGCTTTTTGGGTTCTATGTGTAAATATGTAAATTAAAACATTGGGAGTGCTTTCCTTGCAGAGTTCTCTTAGGAGTGGTTTCTGTTTCTTGAATGTTCCTTAGTAGCTCAGTTTTCCTGCCTTGTTCCAAATCTGTGTTGACACTCCATTGCCAAAGGTTCCTCACACCAGCCATACTGTGTGTTCTGTTTTCTGCCATAGCCAGCACCTTCTGTTTCTGTGAAGAAACAAGCAGGACCTCCTCTTTTAATATAGTGTGCAAAAGTTGATTGCTGCAGTGGTACTTCTTGCTGTTTGAGCGATTGATAGAATCGCCTTTTTCTTCCAAATGGTGGAAATGAAGTACAACTTGATTGTATTGTTTTCAAACCTAGAGTGAACCGCTGTCACCGGCAAATGGCAGAGATTGCTGTCAATGCTGTACTGACAGTAGCAGACATGGAACGTAAAGATGTTGATTTTGAACTGATCAAAGTGCAAGGCAAAGTGGGTGGTAGACTGGAAGATACACAGTTGGTTAAAGGAGTGATTGTGGATAAAGATTTCAGTCATCCACAGATGCCTAAAGTAAGTGATGTCCTTGTGCATGTCTCTTGTGTGTAATGGCTTAAATAAGAGTTTCTAGCCTACCTCAAATGTCCCCCGAGCATTTATTAAGTATTTACACAGTCTTGTGCTTTAGCTTGGCTTTTCACCAAGATATCATCAGAGGAAGGAAAGTGATGTCCTTGTGCATGTCTCTTGTGTGTAATGGCTTAAATAAGAGTTTCTAGCCTACCTCAAATGTCCCCCTAGCATTTATTATTTACACAGTCTTGTGGTTTAGCTTGGCTTTTCACCAATATATCAACAGAGGAAAGGGCAAGGAGCATGAAAGTTTTCATATGGGAAGAGATCAAGACAAAATTTACAAAAATATAGAGAAAATGTGGTGGAAGGGAGGAATTGCTGTTCTGCTGAGTGAGGACAGGTGCAGGATTCTGTGTTATATAGAGATAATTATCCACAGTGTGTGGTATGCTTAATATGCTTAGTGCCACGTGCCAAGATTCTTACTTAACCTTTATGTTGGTTGTGTTTTCCTGTTTGGAACACCCCAGAAACTGTCCTTGTTTTATGTTTGATGTAGGTAAGGTCTCCAAGTCTTTTGGCAGTGTACTTCAAGAAAACTACTGTTCTAAAATATTTATCTAGCAGGTAACAATGTTCATCCTGTAGAAAGAAAGACTAGTGGAAAATAAGTCATGTAATAGCTGAAAAGTTGTTACGAAGACAAGTAGTATTCTCAGTGGTCACAGTGGATAGGGATGGTTTAATTTAATTTTTCTTTTGTTTTTTAAACATTAAACCCTAAAAAGGCATGACTGGTAAAGATTGTTAAGGACTTAAACAGTGTCTTGGAGCTATGGCATTTGTTCTGAGTGGTTTATTGAGACTGTTGACAGAATTATTTAGTTATACTTAGTTAACTTTAGAATAAGTTAAATGATCTTCACATTAGCTTATATGTTTTTGTTTATAAAGGTACGTCTGTATGTTTTGCAAATACAAGAAAGAGATGTTAATAAGGTCAAAAATCATGTGGGTGTTTTTTTTGGTTTTTTTTAATTGCCCAGGAGCTAAAAGATGCTAAAATTGCAATCCTTACTTGTCCATTTGAACCACCTAAGCCTAAAACCAAACACAAGCTTGATGTCACATCTGTGGATGATTACAAGGCGCTGCAGAAATATGAAAAAGAGAAGTTTGAAGAGATGGTGAAGCAGGTAGCCTTTAGGATTCTTTCTGATTTCTTTTTCTTTCATGGCCTTTATTAAAAAACAGCATCGTGCATTGATTTATTCCTGTAAATGAGCTGCTAATCCTGGTGGGAATCAACATACATGCAGTTGTAATGCTGTGAATCAAAGATAATGTAATGTAAGAAAGAGATACCAGCTTGGTTTCAAATATGTTTTTGTAGCAGGCACAAGGCCTGCAAGGCCTTGGCGATCAGAAGCCTGAGCTAGGAAATACCAAAGTCAGCATGACTAAGGCCTTAGAAACCCCTCTCTTCTGCCTTTCGGACCCTGTTATCTCCCTGTATATCCATAGGTCACTTTCCCCTGACCCTTACTATTGGACAGTTTTCAATACCCCTGTAAGGTATAAAAACCCCTCACTCTGCCCGGTGCGGGAGAGGAGAGCTGTCACTGGACCCTTCGCGGAGACCCCAATAAAAGAACCCTGCGGAACCCACACAGCGCTGCTCTCTCTCTCTGCGTCTGCTGCAGCAATACCTAGGGCGACAGCACCAGGCATGCTAAAAGGGCTGAAATCACTAAAGAGCTGAGCTGCAAATCACTATAGCTTGCCTGGGTTGCCTGAGCCCCCCGCTGAGCTATCCTGGCCCTCCGCTGAGCTATCCTGGACGGCCGGCATTCCCCGCTGGGCTGCTGCCCTGAGGGAAATAGCCCAGCCATAGCTGGCGCACCAAACATATGTTTTG